AATCCTACTTCCGTAGTGATACTGCCTCGGAAACCCAAGGAGGGGTCGCTATGAGTCGGGTTTGACTTGACGGCACATAACAACAACAACAACAACAATAATTTTTTGGAAGAAACGTTTTAAGCTGACTTGATCTACAGCTAAATTTCATTCAGGGAAACTGTTAATGGGGACAGAAGAAGGAATTTTCTCTTCCCATCTTTAATATACAAAACCCTTTATCTCCTTTGGTGTGTGCTTGTGAAACTGAACTTGATATTTGGCATTGCCATGTTAAAATCTGACTAAACGTTATTGGCTAAATAAAGTGCATTTCTTACCGCTTCTTCACCAACATAATAAATACCTACCTGAATTTATTTTATGGGGAAGTGATGTCTGGGTTAAGGAGCTCTTGTGGTGCAGTGCCCAAGGCATTTGACTGCTGAACAGAAGGCCGGCGGTTCAACCCCACCAGCCACTCATGGAAGGAAGATGGGGCAATCTACTTCCATAAAGATTTACTGCCTTGGAAACCCAATGGGGGTCGTCAGAACCGACTCGATGGCAGCGGGTTTGCTTGGTTTACATGTCTAGGTTGAGTGGAATGTACACTATATGAAAGTTAGGATTATGTGACTGGTGATCTTGGACAAATTACTTGTCTCTTAGCACCAGTTTCTTCAGCTCTAAAAGGAAGGTCTGAACTAGGTGATCTGTGAGGGTCCTGGTGATTCTGTAACTTGTGTTTAGGACACTACGGAGTTCTGCATTCACTTTCTTATTGTCTTGCGCAGGAACCATGGCCCAGGTAGCAGTATCAACCCTGCCAATGGGAGGTGAGGAGTCCTCAGAGAACAGGATGGTGGTGACGTTCCTCATGTCGGCTCTGGAGTCAATGGTGAGACGGCCTTAACATTCTAGCAAACGTTCAATACTTGGATCACTGTGGAAGCAACAGAATGTGAGATATCCCAATAGAACTTTTGATGTTTAACCAGTTTTCCATCTTTTCTATGTAAGTGAATTCTCCCTAGAGTATAATAATGGGCTTGTCTGATAATTTATTTTTTAACATTATGGACATAATTTTACCAATTAAAGCTTTCTCAATCTGAAAATTTCATAAAGCACCTTTGTTACCATGTTTGAGATTTTTTTTTTTTTTGGGGGGGGAGTCTAAATTCAGAAGTAAATTAATAAATCTATTTTATATTCATCTATTTATGTCTGGAATGTAACTGTTACCTGGGTGGGTAAAATTTTACGAGAAACAGGAATTTATATAACCTCAAGGTATCATCTCATCAAAAGATAGGTATTGATTAGAATACAGTAGAAAAACCTGGCAGACACTATCTTCATAAAGTGATCAAAGGTACATCTCTAATAATGAAAGAAATGACACCACTCGCCCCCTGTTGTCATGCTCTGGGAAGTCACAGACCCTTGCTGTCACAGACCCTTGCTGTGGGATCAGCTTGAGGCTAGTAGAGGAACCAGCAGAGAGATGCAGATTAAGGGCTGTTGTAGATATAACTGGCCTGGACTATTAATACATGTCAATGTCATGAAAGACAATGATTGAAGAACTCTTCCAGACTGAAGGGACTAGAGACAGGACAACTAAATATAAAGGGTGCTCCTGGATTGGGTCCTGACCAGAAGAAAATACACATAGAGATACAGTTTTCTTTTCCTGTAGAGAGCATTATTGGGTCAGTTGTGTGTTAGGGGAAAAGAGACCCCAAATTCAAACAGGTTCTCTAGAGACACATTTATGAAGCTTTGGATAAAACAAAGACAAAACAAGGACAATTATTCTGGCTGAGGAAGACCATCAGCATGAGAAAGCTGACTGGGGCCTGCTGGGTCATGGCTGTGTGGCTGACAATAGGAGGTATTTTATAAAGGGAATCATCACAAAGTCATGATTGGTGGGAGACAGACTCGTCACTGTTGCAGGCAGGACTACAGAGCAGGAAAAGACCACGACTGGGATTTGAAGATAGGAAAGGGTTAAGGATTGGTTCTGGGCCTTGACTACATGGCTGGGTGGTGGTCCAGATAGACTGACTAGTGACCATGCAGCCTGAGACTTAGTCACAAGGTGGCCACCAAACATTACTAAAACCCCAACCTTAAATTAGAAAAGGACACTCAGGCAGGTTCCCTAGTTCTTTGTGAGAGTATAAGCTACTTTCAACCACACTCTTCCCGAAGGCAAACTGCCCTCCCTAGATTTGTCCTAAAATTTGTCTGTCTATATGACCATAATGCTGGCTTAATGGTCAGAAAGAACCCAAATGACATCTGCAACTTATGTCAAGCCTCGAAATGGAGTTAGGGCTCCCACTGTGGACCACAGCCTTCCACAAACCACATGCTTTAGAGTTTAAGCTCTCATACAATTGGCAACATTTGAGTAAGATTTGTAGTTTTAATAGTGTTGTCTCAGTGGTAATTTCCTGCTTATGCTAGCATTACCGTATCTGTGTAAAAGCAACCCCTCCTTGGGTTTCCAAGGCAGTATCTCTACAGAAGTAGATTGCCCACAGGAGTGGCTGGTGGGTTTGAACTTCCAGCCTCTGGTTAGCAGTCAGATGCCTTAGGCATTATGCCACCAGAGCTCCTTGTGTAAGAGAATGACCTTGATTTTTACACAATACACATTTAGAGATCAAAGGACAACATGTTTGCTACTTGTCCTCAAACGGATTAGGGGGAGAAAAAAGGAGGAGAATTGCCCCATAGAATTCCCAAGGCTGTAAATCTTTATGGACGGTAGATGGAGCAGCTGGTAGGTTCACACTGGCCACCTTGTGGTTAGCAGCTGAATGCTTTAACCACTGCACCACCAGAGCCCCTTAATGATAAATGCAATAAAATGTCAGCGTTCGGGAAATCTGGGTGAAAGGTACATCAGAATTCTTTATAACATTGTCATTTTTTCCTATAAATCTGAGATTTTTTTCAAAATAAAGTTTTCTGAAAATTTTAATTTAAAATATATTTCTGTCTCAAATCAAATAATTGATACTTTTTATATTCTAGAATAAAACTTTATATATTATAAAATTTAGTGGTGGTACTAATTAGTTGCATAATTTCAGAAATACTTGAATTAGGATTATACTTGTACTATTTCAATCAAGAGACCCTAAGGTTTAATGTCATCATTGTCTTGAAAAACACACAAATAAGTTAGAGAGATAACAACTCACCTAAGGCAACTCCAAAACCAAACTCAATGCCTTCAAGTCGGATCTGACTCATAGTGACCCCTCCTTGGGTTTCCAAGGCAGTATCTCAACGGAAGTAGATTGCCCAACCTTCCTTCCAAGGAGTGGCTGGTGGGTTTGAACCGCCAGCCTTCTGGTTAGTAGTCAAATCCCTTAGGCACTACGCTACCAGAACTCCCAACTAGAGGAAGGGAAACCAGGCTGAAAACCTGAAGAGAGCGGCTTCCAGTGAAGTACAGAAGTTAGATGCGTCAGGTGAGGACTCCATAAAAATGCAATGGGTTGGTTGGTGTGGTATAGCTGCAGTAATATCATCAGAACCTGTCTAACTTCAGGGGGATAGTGCAAATCACAGTCAGCCCAAGGCTGATCCCTATGAGGTGGAAGTCAAGCATACCTCTCCTCTCTAACCTTTTTACCAATTGTGACAGCAGTTCTTCCTCCCACAGCCTTCACCACTTCTCTTTTGGGTTTGATAACCCGTTGCAATGGCCACACAGAACTCACAAACCATACTTACAGTTAAATGGTTTATTAAGGAAGTAACAGCATACATCTCAGGATCAGGATCACAGGTTACAACCCAGGATTATGATCAGGAAGCACGTAGCAACGTCTCCCTTCTTCAGTGCAGGACAGCTCTCTCAGCTCCTTGCAGGCCTCTTCTCGGCCCCCTCAGGACAGACTCCTCTTGGCCCCATCAGGACCAGCTGCTCTTGGCCCTGCTGTCTGTATCACCAACTCTGCCACTGGGCCCTTTGCGGGCCTGTTGCTGTTTTCATTGTTACAGCTCTTTTAGAAAGTTCCTTGCCTCCTCTCTCTCTACTGCTTCTCTTTTCTTTGTTCTGCTACTGTCTGCTTCATAGCTGAAAAACTTTGTGGGGTTGGCTGTATAAATATACAAACTCCTCATCAGTTTCAAGGCATGGCTCTCCCACCAGGGCCACAAACTGACCAATCCCCTCTTGGTATGCCAAAGACACTTCATTTGCATAGTAGGTTATGTTGTTGTTGTTGTTATGTGCTGTTGAGTTGGACCGGACTCGTAGCGACCCCTCCTTGGGTTTCCGAGGCACTATCACTACGGAAGTAGATTGCCCCATCTTCCTTCCGAGGAGTGGCTGGTGAGTTAGCAGTCAAGTGCCTTAGGCACTACGCTACCAGAGCTCCCATAATAGGTTATAGTCACTTCATTTGCATAGTATATACTGACCAATCTCTGCAAGGTACATACCAATCATAAGGCAGCCTGCAGCCTAGGGCCAGACAAAAACCATCAAACCATGTTGTTTACAACTTACCCAAGAAACGTAACAAACTCCCTGGGGCAGAAAACTAAGGCAAAGATAACTCCTCAGGTCTTAGGGGAAAGAGCTCTCAAAACTGTGTTTGCAAAGAACCAAAGCAGAGGCCACATTGAAGAAGAACTCATCTACCCACAGTTGGCAAGAGATTTAGGACTGCAGAGAAAAACTTTTGCAACCAGAAACATGATCTAAAATTTTTATAATTTACTTCTGTAATAGCAGACTAGGTAATAATGGACCAACCCTTTGTCTTCAGACAGCTAGCAGGGATGAGAAGAATGTGCAGTGAAACCTGTGAGTCCGAACTCTATGGTACAGCCTTGTGTTTCTGGGTCTCACGTTTTCCACATTTGACAGAGTACAGTCTTACCGCTTTTCTGTTGCTTATTTTAGTGGAAAATACTTACATTTTCCGTCTCTGACTGGTTGCCGCCTTACACGGGTTCCAACTTTCGCAGGTTTTACTGTAATAAACATTTGCTTGAAGGCACTGGAGATCTACCAAGATGGTGATGAATCATCTGGCTGACAAATAACTTGTATAACTCACTGCCATCGAGGCAATCCCAACTCATAGTGACCCCTCCTTGGGTTTCCCAGGCGATATCTCTACAGAAGTAGATTGCCCCACTTTCTTTCCAAGGAGTGGCTGGTGGGTTTGAACCACCAGCCTTCTGGTTAGCAGTCAAATGTCTTAGGCACTATGCCACCAGAGCTCCCAGTAACTTGTATAGAGAGGCATAAACATAAGGATTAGGGTTGAGCATTAAATATGTAATTCTTCCTAGAACTAAGATTAAAAGAAGACAAAGAGGGAGATAATATAGCATATAATGGCTTGAAAACAAAAAAAAGCAAAGGGAAGGAGAACGGGGAAAGCATATGTAAAAGAAAATTTTTGGTGTTTCCTCATGTTGGTGGTAGTATGACTATTATCTTGATACTGTGTGTAACATGAGATAAAGTAAATGAGTACATTGGGGATGTGCTAATCAAACCCACCAGCCACTCCCCGGAAGGAAGATGGGGCAATCTACTTCCATAGCGATACCCCTCGGAAACCCAAGGAGGGGTCACTCTGAGTCGGGTCTGACTCAACAGCATATAACTACAACAACAGTAATTCTGTCCTAGCTAATGTCCTTGAGAACGAGGACTGCCCACGTGGAAGAAAAGAGATACTGAAGCAATAGATTAGACAGTAAGTAAAATTTCTGGAATCTTCAAAGAAAAAGAAGATGATGAAGAAGAATTAATTATATGGTCAAAATTTCAAAGAAAATGAAGCAGAAAACCATGATCCTGGCATTCGAGGTTGCTTTGAAAAAGGCTGTTGGGAGGCTGAGCAGGGT